CATCAAACTGATCGTAATCCTCATCAGTCTTGTCCTCTACTCCGACGATTTTTCTTTTTCTTGGGAGAACCACGTGGCGCTTCGGCTCGTCAGTCACTTTGCCCTTTTTTCCTTTGCTAGACATGTCCTTGACGTAAAAAACTTGGGTTACATCATCGACAAGGACAAAAGGTTCGTCCGAGTATCCAACCTTGTTAAGGTCAACCGTTGTCATCCCACTGTCATCAATCGTTACGCCTCCACCAGTCAACCTAATCCATTGGCACCGGAACAGAGGGACCTTGAGAGGTCCATAGTCAAGTTCCCATATGTCCTCGATGGCACCGTAATATGTGCCAGTTGTACCATCGTGTCCCATGGCATCGATACGAACAGCACTGTTCTGGTTTGTACTCTTCATGTCTGGGGCCCTCGTGTAGAATGTGTACCCATTGATTTCATATCCCTGGAATGTCGCGATCGAGCCAGATGGTCCCCACGCCAGAAAGGCCAGTTGTTGGTTAATCGTCTTGCTACCCATGAGATGTTGTCGCAGCCACGTGGAGAAAGTATCAATGTGATACCTTGTAATCCATGCATCGGACTTACCGATGTTTTTGGCGCGAACTAGAGCCAAGTGCTCCTCGATGTAGGGAGCCACCAATGAAGATTGTTGCAGAACAGTGAAATGGGCTTTACGGAATAAATAGTTGTCTGCCGTCATTATTGCTTTCCTTTCGAGAGTCCCCTTTCCCCGTAGTCTCCCTTCATGGCGTGATTCAGGTACCCCGATTGGGCGAAGGTCTTCGATAAATTCTACGCAGAATTCAATGACCTCCTCTGTTCCATACCCCTTGGCGATGCTTGCCTCTGGACGAGCACGGTTATGAACATACTTCTTCAGAACGCCCATGTACCTCTCGAAAGGTTACATGTTGTGTAGGTACACAGGACCGAGAATACCGATCTCTTTGACAAGGTGACAAAGCAGATGCGTCATTATATTGAAAAATGAAGGTGGAAATATCAACTCAAAGCTGACAAGACATTGCACCACATCATTCTGCAGGGCTTCTAATCTATCAGGATCGATGACCTTCTGCGAAATTGCGTTCATGAAAACACATAGCTTTGTTATTGTTGTCCGGACATTGTCTGGGAGGATACCCCTTATTACAACTGGTAGCAGCTGTGTCATCAACACGTGACAGTCATGAGACTTTAGATTTGTGAACTTCTTCTTCTTCGTGCTTATTATTCGCTTTATATTCATGGAGTATCCAGACGGTACCTTGATGCTCTCCAAGCATTCAAACATACTTTCCTTCTCTGCCTTGCTAAGAGTGTAGCTGGCTGGACTCAAGTAATGGCTTCCTTTCTTCTTTGGTTCCGGATGAAGGTCACCGCGTTGTTCCATATGCTTCAGATCATTACGTGCTTCCAGTGTATCTTTCAACTTTCCATATACACCTAGGAAGCCAAGAAGGTTTACGCAAAGATTCTTAGTGAGGTGCATCATGTCGATTGCGTGGCGGACGTCCAAGAATTCCCAATAGGGTAACTCCCAAAATATAGAGTTCTTTTTCTACATCGCCGCGTGACCATCTTCGCTCTCTATAGGCTGGCTGCCAGGCCCCTTTCCAAACACTACTTTAAGATCTTTAACCATAGAAAACACTGTTTCCCGCTGCGATGTTTAGGCTTCGTACGGTGGTCCTCCTTATGTTCAAAGTGCTTGCCTTTCTTCCGTACCTGGTGGTTTGCTGCAAGGAATCAACGATGACCCATGTACACAACCTTCCTACAGTGCTTAAGATACATACTTTCTATTTCATCCATACAGTGAGTGCAAGCCTTGTACCCCTTATTGGACTGTCCGGATAGGTTGCTAAGTGCAGGCCAATCGTTGATGGTTACGAACAGTAGCGCTCGTAGGTTAAACTCCTCCTGTTTGTCCTCGTCCCACATGGGGACACCTTCCTTCTTCCACAACAGTTTAAAATCTTCGACCAGTGGTCTTAGGTACACATCGATGTCGTTAACAGGTTGCTTGGGCCCTTGAATTATAATCGGCATCATTATGTACTTCCTCTTCATGCATAGCCACGGGGGGAGGTTGTAGATACACATCGTAACGGGCCAAGTGCTATGGCCGCTGCACATCTCACCAAAAGGATTCATGCCATCCGTACTTAAACCAAACCGTATGTTTCGTGCGTCCTTTCCAAAGTCTTTAAATTTTCTGTCGATGTTTCGCCACTGCGAACCATCGGCGGGGTGTCTCAGCATCCCGTCCTGTTGACGCTCTTCAGCGTGCCACCGCATCATTCTAGCGTTCCCCTTGTTCCTGAACAAACGCCTTAGCCGTGGTATTATAGGGAAATACCACATCACCTTAGCAGGAATTCTCTTCTTCGTTAGCTGCCCGTCAACTTCTCCTGGATCATCTCGTCTAATCTTGTATCGTAGTGCTTTGCAAACAGGGCATGCTTTTAGGTTCTCGTACTCCTCACCGCGATATAGGATACAATCATTCGGACATGCGTGAATCTTCTGAACTTCCAGTCCTAGAGGGCACACTATCTTCTTTGCCTCGTACGTTGTCTCGGGCAACTTGTTTCCCTCCGGAAGAATGTTCTTGACGAGTTTCAATAAATCGCCAAATGCCTTGTCACTAACACCATTATTTGCCTTCCATTGCAAGAACTCTAGAGTGGTATCCAACTTTTTGTGCCCCTGCTCGCAACCTGGGTACAACGACGTTCTGTTGTCCTCTAACATCTTGTCCAATTTATGGGCCCCCTTTTCACTTTCGCAATCCTCCTTGGCGTCCTGCAACATCTGACCAAGATCATCCGCAACGTTGTTACCATCAGCATCCCTTTCCTCCTCACCCGTTTGATTTTCTTCAAATCCAGCGTACTGAGCAAAGTCCGGAATATTATCGTCTTCCACTTCATCTTCTTCCATTTCAACACCTTGCTCTCCGTGGGATGTCCAACAATTATAGCTTGGCATGAACCCCGACTCAAACAAGTGGAAATGAATAGTCCTGGATGCAGAATACTCCTTCTGATTCTTACACTTATTGCATGGACAACAAATAAAACCCTTTTGCCTGTTAGCTTCGGCCACTCTCAAAAAATAATGCACGCCGTCAATAAACTCTTTGGACCGCCGGTCAGCGTACATCCATTGCCGATCCATCTACATGACATGAAAAAAAATCGTACACACATAATTATTCGTACAATAATGACAATCATACAATAATTATAAAATAATTACAAACTCTTTCAACAGTCACACAATAATGACATATCATTATTCCTACAAATATTATGAAATATTACACCGAATAATTATATATTTACTATTTATAAAGTTTTAAACTAATATTAATGTGTTGTACTTATTTTAATTTTTCATTTTACTTTGTTTTCTATTATTCAAGATTAACTTTCACTATATTTTCCTTCTCAACTTTTTTATAAAACCTTCTTTAGCAAATAAACTAAATTTCTATATATTCTTTCTTCTCCACACAAATTTTCTCTCTCATCAACTAACAACAAAATTTTGAAGACAAAAAAGTGTGCAAAACATAGCTCCAAATGTAATATGAAAAAAAAAATATTGGAGGATGAAGTTGCTAACCTTTTAGGCACCTCCGATTTGTATATAATCACCAAAATAAATTCACTAGAAATTTTGGCATGACCTCCCCTCTTTTTTGAAGAAATTTTGAAGCTTGCTCGGGCTGGAGGAGGAAGAAGACATATATATAGGGGTAGGACTTTAGTCCCGGTTGGTGTTATGAACCGGGGCTAAAGATCGCCGTGATCTGTTACCAACCGGGACTAAAGTTACGATCTTTAGTCCCGGTTGGTGTTATTAACCGGGACTAAAGATCCCAGGGGGGGCCTGACAGGTCCTGACAGCATTTGAACAGGGACTAAAGATCATTTTTAGTCCCGGTCAAATATGCCCATTACCCTTTTTAACCGGGACTAAAGATCATCTTTAGTCCCGGTTTTTGTTGCAACCGGGACTATTGTGGAATTAGCCCGACCGACGAAAGATGGTTTCTCCACCAGTGAATTGACTTGTGTGTAGATTATATATTGTATGTTAAATTGAACCGGCCATGTCCTTTATATAGGGGTTAGTCTTGCCACCTACAGGTCCTCCTCTATGTCTAATTCGGGAAAGAAACCAAAGAAAACCTGTGACATAGCCTCCCGAGTAAGGAATCCCGAGGCCGACGAAAATGGACTTGGGCTCAAACTCTGCCGGTCTGACCAGCAACATGCCTTCGGTTAGACCGGCCCTCAGACCATGGTCTGACCGGCCCATACACGGCGGTTAGACCGACCTAGTGGAGGAAACCGGTGACCTTCCCAAATCTTGGGCAATTTTTCTTATTTTGAACCTATCTAGCAAATTTGGGTGTAAACAATTGTATCAACATATCACCTCAACTTCGTTGATGTGGTAAACTTGTAAACATAGGTCCTCTCTGTCCTTTTTCTTGGCAAAGACCACACTATTTTCTTTATCGTTGAATCGTTGTAGCGCATCAATAATCGGAACCCAAACTCCTTTAATTTTCACACTTAGTAAATTAAACATAGTTAGCCCGGATGATTATGTTATCAGTAATCACCAAAACTCTAAACAAGGGACTAGGTGCTTACACTCGACACTGCCAGATGCTGGGAGGCTGTCCGAGGATGTTGAGTCTCACATGGTTAGCTCAGAGGGTGGAAAATAATTGAGAGAAGTTGCAAGATGAAAAAACAAAGGAAAACCATTAACTCTACTCACTGGAGGGCAAATATAAGTATATGTAATTTCAAATTGCTATTAACTTACACCACAACACATGATGATTTCAAAATCATAGATGAGTAAAAAGCCCCGTAATTGGTTCTTATATGTATTGCATGCATGGCTGATCATAAATTTGTATAACTAATCATGCTGTCGAATGACTTGCTTCACTAAGCACTCTGCATTCTTTAGACAGAAGCCATGTAATCCTTTTTTATCTTCGCCAGTCTCACAACCACTTCGCTCATTGTCATTCTTTGGTCTGGTAATTCATGTGAGCATTGTAAACCCAACTCAAAAACTGGGACTATAAAGTTATTCAATGAACTAGAGGAATCTTGCACCAGTAACCGGTTATCCACCACATCCATGACATTTGATGGAAATGCACTAGTAACCCACTGCCTTAGAGATAGTTCTCCAACAAACATGGGATCAGTTGGCCTCTTTCCAGTGAATAACTCCAGAAGCATAATACCGTAGCTGAATGCATCGCTTTTCCGTGATGCTTTCCCAACTGACCCATACTCTAGCAATATTTTTTCCAAACAGGAGAGGAATAAATTAGTAGCAAAACTAATAGTTGAATCAAAACGAGAGAAAAAAAAACATACTAGAAATACCTGGTGCCATATAACCAATTGTTCCAGGCATACTTGCAGAAATAACAGAGTTATCGTCACCACGTAACAGTTTTGCAATCCCGAAATCGGCCACCAATGCAACCATGTCTTGGTCGAATAGAACATTGCTTGGCTTCAAGTCGCAGTGTAGGACTACCTCACAGTGATGATAGTGAAGATACTCCATTGCCATGGACACATCCAACAGAATGTCCAGTCTCTGAAGGAATCCCAGTTGCTCTCCACCTTCAGAGTGTAGCTGTGTTTCTAAGCTTCCCTTGGGCATGTAGGGAAGAACCAAAGCTCTGAAGTCCAGGTTGCCACCCCCCCCCCCCCCGCGTCGCTCACGCGTCGGGCGGCTCGGGGGCGAAAAACCCTAGCCGCCCGCGCCTTCTCTCCCTCCCTCCCCCCACCTCGCCGCCGCTGGAGCCCGCCGGCGGCGAAGCCGGCAGCGGGCAGGGAAGGCAGCGGCGAGGCCTTCTTCTCTTCGTAGCGTCTCCCTCCTCGGCGCGAAGGACGAAGACGACGAAGCTCCCCACCGGCGTGGTCCATAGCGGCTACGGCGGCGAGGTGTGGAGGAGGCGGCGGATCCGGAGCCCCCATGGCCGGATCCGGCCCTCCCTCGCCTGGATCTGCGTGGCGGCGGCGCGAGGAGGCCTGGGGCGGCGCGACGGCATGCGGTCATGGTGGCGGCTGGCTGCAAGGCGGCGAGGCGGCGGCCGGCTGCGGCTAGGCCGGCCCGGCACTGGCGCGGAGGTGGCGGACGGCTGCGGCAAGGCGTGGAGGCGGCTCGTCAGCGGCGGGCGCGGGCAGCGGATGGCCGCGGCTCGTCGTGGCCGGCTGGGTCGCAGAGGCGGTGGCCGCGCGGAGGCGGCGGGCAGCTAAGCCTGCCCAGAGCGGCAGCGGTGCCCCTGCTCACTCGCTCGCCCTGGCCACCCAGCGCCAGCCCATGGCGCGGTGGGTCGTCCAGGCCTCGGTGGTGGCTCGGCGTGGTGGCCGGGCAGCCGGGATGCCGTCGCGGTGGCTAGGTGAGGCGCAGCGGCCGGACTTCAGGGGCGCCGGCGGGTGGCGCCGGTCCGGAGCAGCAGCACCACCGGCGGCCAGATGGCAGTGCAAAGGGAGCTGGCGGCGATGGGCCGTCTTCCTCGTTGCCGGTCGGCACCCTCGGCCTTCGTGGAGCTCCTCCCCTTCTTTGCGGGGAGTTTCTAGGTTGGATTGAGGCGGCAGCTCATCAATGGGGGAAGCTCAGGCTGCCGAAGCAATGCCACCTAGTCCCGGGTTCTCCTTCGGCCAAATCTGGCGAGGCGGCCGGCGGGTGGTGGAACGGAGGAGTCCTAGGCCAGCTTTCAGGGGTGGTGGTTCGTTGAAGTCGACCGACGGAGGGGCGTCGGTGCGGTGTGGTGGATGCCACGTGCTGCCATTTGTCTGTGTGGTGGTTCTGAGTTGGTGGATGGCGATCTGCAGTCAAGGTTGTAGGGACCCAGGCGAAAGCCTAGTCCGGTGGTTCACCGGGCCGTCAGCGGCTACGTCTTCGGGCGTCGTAATCTCCTTGGAGCGTTGTCGAGGGTTACCCTCTCCCTTTCTTGGCGAGCTTCTCTGGGTGAAAACCACATCTTTTTTTATGGGCGATGGCGGCATCTTGGATGTCGTGACCACCATGGTGGCATCGTTTTCGGAGCCTCGTCTCTGTGGTGTTGCTGTAGGCCTAGCGGCGTTCGGCCACGCTCAGCGGGGGTCGTTTGGTGCTAGGTTTCACCCTCAGCGGTTTGTGCTTGGGTGGTAGCGCGTGGTGTGTTGCAATGCACCTTGGTGCATTTTGTTGTTTTTTCTCTTGTAACTTTTATTCCTTCTTAATATACTCGGTTGGCCTCCTTCGGCCTTCCCGGCGAAAAAAAGAAGTCCAGGTTGGAACAAGTGGTGAGTATCCTAATCAAGTTGCGATGCCGGGCCATGCGCAGGGCATGACACTCTGAATCGAAGCTTCTAATAGCTTGTTCCAGCTCCATGTTGAGAACTTTTATTGCCACCATAGTACCGTCGTTCAGTTGGCCCTTGAAAACTTTTCCAAAGCTTCCAGCCCCCAACAATTTAGTCTCACTAAAATTATCCGTGGCTCGGACAATGTCATGGTAAGAGATCAACCTATTGTTGAGCACATCTTCCATATCAGGAGAAATGATTCTATCTTGTTGCTTGGCTTTCTTCCTCATCATCATGTACATGCATGTGGCTATAACTCCGACAACAATAATAACACTGGGGAGCAAGAATTTTAGTATTTGCCTTTTATTACTATTATTGTTGCTCTTACATGGCATAAACCCCAAACGTGGAACACCACCACAAAGGGCGGGGTTGCCCATCAAAGATTGCAGGGTGATGTTTGCAAAGATGCCACCTTCTGGTATTGGACCATGTAGGTTATTGAATGAAAGGTTCAAGCTAGAGAGATCAGTAAAATTTGCTAAATATTGTGGAATTGTCCCCGACAGATCATTGTATGAAACATCCAGTGATTTCAAGTTGATCAACTTGTCAAAAGAGTTTGGAAATGAACCATTTAGTGAGTTGTGTGACAGGTTCAGGTATGTTGTCATTAGAAACTGTCCAAAGGATTCAGGGATCCTACCAAACAACCGGTTGGAAGAGAGATCAATCCTGTCAATATGATTTAGCTGCCCTATATCTACTGGCAATGCACCTTCCAAGGAGTTCTGAGACAGATCAACGGTTATCAAGCTATTCATATGGAATAGGCTTGCTGGTATGGTTGATGACATATGATTTTTAGATAGAACAAGATATTGTAGATTACTGAGGTTTCCAAGATCGTTTGGTAGCACACCTGAGAAGTTGTTGTTATTGAGTATTAGTGTTTGTAGGTTCCTTAGATGACCTATTTGTCTTGGGATTGTGCCAGACATGATATTTCCAGAGAGATTAAGAACTTGGAGCTTGTCCATTAGCATGATTGATTCTGGAATAGTACCAGTCAGTTGGTTGTTTGAAAGGTCCAACCAAACGAGATTGCTTAAATTCAACAGGGTAGAAGGAAGATCACCGGATAACCTGTTTCCTACTGCAAAGAAATTTATTAGAGTACTTGAGAAGTTTCCGACATAGTTAGGGAGCTCCCCTGTGAAATAATTCAAGTCGAAGCCAACTTCCCAGATATTTTGACAGTTTGAAAGTGTAGCCAAGAAGTCGAGGCTCCCTTGTAGGTAGTTGTCTCCAATATTGAACCATTCAACTGATCCTGTGCTACCGATTGCAGTTGGTACTGCTCCGGTAAAACTATTAGCACCAATTAAGAATACAGCTAGTTCCGAAAAGTTGGCAAAAAAGGTAGGGATGGATCCTGTAAAATGATTATGGTCGAGGAATAGCCCTTTGATTTTCCTGAGCTGTGCAAGTTCTTGTGGAATCTGTCCTGTTAAATTGCAGGATTGAAGGCCAAGGGTGTCAAGATTACTAAGATTACCCAATGCAGATGGGATCGGACCAACAAGGTTATTACTCTCTAAATCAAGTAATACGAGGTCTGGCAGTTTTCCCAACCATGCTGGAACTGGGCCCTCGAATAAATTATGTCCAATGAAAATCCATTGGAGGTATTTGCAGTCTGCAAGCCCCAACGGAATCTGTCCCATGAATCTGTTTTCATACAAGCAGATCTTTTGCAGCATGGGGAGGTTGAAGCTCTTGTTACCAGGGATAGATCCATCTAGGTACCCGTTGCCTCCGAGATGCAACATTTCTAGTTTGGACATGTTGAAAATTAACTCAGGTACTGGTCCAGAAAAGTGGTTATATGCTATTTCCAAGTGTTGAAGGATGGGCAAAGTGCCGATACCAACTGGTATTGTCCCTGACAAACTGTTATTCCGGAAGTTTAGATATTTTAGCTTAGGGGTGTTGTTGAACAGATCATTGGGTAGTGGTCCAGTCAAATAATTCACTAGCAAATCTATGTACCTAAGGTTGCGAAGATTCTGCAGCTCACGTGGTATTTGCCCAGAGAGGCTGTTATACCCTACGTTTTGGGAGAGGAGACTACGCCGCCGCAGCGGCGACACAGTCGGGCGCATCCTTTGTGACCATGCTTGCCCTGGCCACCGCCGCCGGCGCGCAGCCTTGGATCGAGAGGGGTGAGACCTCCACGACGCCGCCGCGTAGCTTTGCGACGTCACAGCTGCGCGAGAGGCGGCTGCGGCGGAGGGGATGGAAGGAGAAAAGTTACACCCGCAGGGAAGAGATGGAGGATGTCTGCAGCTGGAGGGGATGGAATGGCCACGACCACGAGGAAGAACTATGTCGACCCCATCGTACCCCCATGTATTGAACGGTCAGATTACAACTGGTATCTACAGGTACTTGTACCGGGCGGTACATTTCGCTGGACCGGAACAAGCCTCCGGGAGGTGTGGATTGTGGTGTTGGGGAGGAGCGGACCATGCGAAAACCCAGCTTTGCCCTTCCACCTGTTCGGCGAAGGGGAGGTACCATTGAGGAGATTTTGGTACCGGACAGTACCGAGGATTCTCATCCGTTAGATCGGACTCAATGGATGGCTCTGATTACAGGTACTGGGAGGTACCACCAGTCATGATGGACTGTAAAAAAACTCTTTTTAGATAGAACAAGATATTGTAGATTACCGAGGTTTCCAAGATCGTTTGGTAGCGTACCAGAGAAGTTGTTGTTATTGAGTATTAGTGTTTGTAGGTTCCAGAGTTGACCTATCTGCCTTGGGATTGAACCAGACAAGCTATTTCCGGAGAGATTAAGAAGTTGGAGCTTGTCCATTAGCTTGATTGATTCTGGAATAGTACCAGTCAGTTGGTTGTTTGAAATGTCCAACCAAACGAGATTGCTTAAATTCGACAGGGTAGAAGGAAGCTCACCGGATAACTTGTTTCCTTCTGCAAAGAAATTTATCAGAGTACTTGAGAAGTTTCCGACATAGTCAGGGAGCTTCCCTGTAAAATCATTCAAGTCGAAGCCAACTTCCCAGATATTTTGACAGTTTGAAAGTGTAGCCAAGAAGTCGAGGCTCCCTTCTTGGTAGTTCCCTCCAATATTAAACCACTCAATTGATCTTGAGCTACCAAGTGCAGTTGGTACTGACCCAGTAAAACTATTAGCACCGATTAGAAAGACTTGTAGTTCAGAAAAGTTAGCAAAAAAGGTAGGGATGGATCCAGTAAAATGATTATGGTCCAGATACAATGCATTGAGTTGCTGAAGCTGTCCAAGTTCTTGTGGAATTAGCCCTGATAAGGTACACGATTGAAGACCAAGGGAGACAAGATTAGTAATATTACCCAGTGCAGATGGGATTTGACCGATAAGATTATTGTAACCTAGATCAAGTAAAAGGAGGTCTGGCAGTTTGCTCAGCCATGTTGGCACAGGGCCCTCGAATGAGTTCTCTCCAATGGAAATTATTTGGATGTATTTGCAGTTTGCAAGCCCTAATGGTATCTGTCCCGTGAATCTATTCGCAAATAGAGAGATCATTTGCAGCATGGGGAGGTTGAAGGTATTATTGTTACCTGGGATAGTTCCAGTTAGGCCCCAGTTGCCTCCAAGAGATAATATTTGCAGCTTGGACATGTTGAGTATAGTTGTTGGAACTGGGCCAGAGAAGTGGTTAGCCTGAAAATCGAGGTGTTGGAGCATGCCTAAGGAACCCACAGAATACGGAAGTGTTCCTGTCAAACTGTTGTTCCCAAAGTCTAGATATTGTAGCTTAGAATTGTTGCTGAAGAGATCATTCGGTAGTGGTCCAGTTAAGTAATTCGTTATGAAATCTATGTGCGTAAGATTGTGCAGTTTTTGCAGCTCAAGTGGAATCTGCCCTGATATGCTGTTGTGCCCCATGTCAACAACCTCAAGCCTTGTGAGGTTTCCTACCACTGGTGGAATGACGCCTGACAAGCTATTCCGGCGGAAAACGAGAACTTCAAGACGATGCAGCTTTCCGAGATCGGCTGGGATGGCGCCGGTGAGTCCCGTGCTAGTGAGGTTGAGGACAGTGAGGAAAGAGAGGTTACCAAGATGAGGCGAGATGCTTCCCTGGAGTGGCACATCGTGCAGCACAAGGGCAACAACCCGTGCCCGGCGGCGACTACATGACACGCCGAACCAATGACAGAAAGATGTGGCAGTAGTCCAGTTGGATAGAACGCCGCGAGGGTCGGCGAGCTGGGCTTTGAAAGCCAGCAGCGCGGTAACGTCTGTGTCACTGCCGTTGCCGGCGGTGACACTGTCTGGGGTCGAAGCAATGGCAATAGAAGCAATGGCAATAGATGCTAAAAACCAGAGGTACAGTAGCAGCGTAATCATGATCGAAGTGGCCATGTATGGAAGCTGGTTGGACTGGAGAAATTTAGCTAATCGGCTTTGTAGTTTGCTTAATTATATAGCTTGCTTACAACTTCTCTTCTTATATATATAGCCTCCTTTTTGTGATGTTTCACAGTTTCATTGAATCGGTAGCCTTTCATGCTTTGAAAGAGAAATTCAGGGGAACGAGGAGACCTTGACTTAGGCCTTCGTGTAAATCACAGCCTTTTGTACTTATAGAAATATTAATGGGTTATGTACCGTACTACCAGCGAGTTGAGATAATCTATTGTATACTACTGGGTTTGTTCGAGTTTAACGATTTGCCATTGACATTCTTTTTAAAAATACCCAAAATACCCTTATGAACATAGAAGCTTAGCAATTGATTTATCTTATTAGAAGTTCCAAAAAAAATATGAAAACTTTTATGTGGCCTCCTTATTACATAACATGGAAATTTCTATAGGAGTTTTAAGTTTTTTACATTTATTTTTTTAAAAAAAATATAACTTATCTGTTATATGGTATATAAAAATACCTTTTTATTAGTTTTTAATATAAATCATCTTTCACACACTACATAAGATAGTTTTATGCTATCATCTCCTGGATAAGCAAACTCTCTCTCATATACCACGTAAAAACACTTTTTTAAAAAAACTAAATATACCAGAAAAAAAATTACAACTTGTATAGAAACTTCCATATTGTGTAAGGAGGCCACGTAAAAATTTTCATATTTTTTTTGAAACTTCTAATGAGATAAATCAATTGTTTATCTTGTATATCTCTAAGGGTATTTTGGGTATTTTTTGAAAAGAAGGTCCGGCCTAATGGTATATCGTAGAACAATTGTTAAAGTCACCGGTATATTATAGAAAGAGACCATGTCGATGGCAAATCATTGAACTCGAACATTAGGGGTGCCAAGGTTTCTTCAGAAATTTGTGGCGTGGTTAGTGTTTGTAGATACGGCGACACCGCTATGGCGAGTGGGTTTTCGGTTTACAAGAGCTATTTCATCATATAAAATTGTTATACGTGATGTCTAATATCCATTAAATTATTGTTGAGGGTCATTATAGACCAATTTTGATTGTCAATATATCTAAAATAAATAAGAACTAGTAATGCCTGCATACATATTTGTTTAAGAATAATCTATTTTCACTTGTACTTGGAACTTTATTTGTATGCGGGAGATCTTCACATAAATGGAGGAGATGATGGAAAATAACTGAATAATCAATCGAAGTCCGACGAGTGGCACACTTATGGATGGATGGGCTTACAAACCCATTAAAAGGAATAAGATCACTTTGACTCCCTCAACTGACCACCGAATCTAAATCGTATCCCTCAACCACAATACCAGAAATCTTGACCCCCGAACCTGCAAAACTGGTGCAATTTGGCTCCCTTAGTGGTTTTAGAGGGCAGTTTCGCTGACGTGGCGGACACGTGGCAGTGTTGACCTGGCCTTTGTCCCACGTGGCATTGACGTGGCGCTTATGTGGCATTAAAATAAAAAAATATATGCGGGGCCCATTTGTCAATTAAAAACAATTGTGTCAGTGGGTCCCACATGTCATCCTCTCTTATCCCTTCTTCCTCCTCCCTCTCCTCCCTTCTCTATCTCTCCCTCTTTCTCCTCGTGCGTGGGGAGCGGCGTCCGGATCGGCGGCAGCAACGGCGGGCGATGGATGGAGCGGCAGCTATGGGTGGAGGGTAGGCGGGCGGGTGTTGGAGTTGCGGACCCGGAGGCCGGATATACCCCTAGCTTCCTTCCTCCTCCCGATAGACCACACCGTGGCCGCCGTTGCGCCACCGACCGTCGCTGGTGACCTCTTAGGCCGTGTGGGGCAAGCGGGTGCAGGAGTGACGGTGGCGGTGGTGGCTTCTCACGGTGGACCACGATGGTGGTGGTGCCCTCGACGGTGTCGCGCAGCCATGCACGAGGAGCTCAGGAATGCATGGCGACTCCGCGGCGTAGCACCGAGCTCCATCAACCTAGATCCAGAGCTCCGAATCGGCCACGACGGGCGACTAGAGGACAAGCTGCAGCAGCAGGGCGGCGGCGGCGGCTTGATGTGGTCACAGTGGCAGAGACAGTAAAGGCTCGGTGGAAGGCGTCGGCCTTCATCGTCGGTGGAAGGCGTCGCCGGAGACCACTCATTGCTTCGCGTCGCCACCTCGAGGCCGAGACGCACCCACCGCCGCCGCAAAATCGGAGGTGGTGCACAACCTTGAGCGCCCGCTCTGCATCCTTAAGGAGGAGCTGCTCCCATGCCCGTTGCCCGAGGTCCACCGCCTACCACCGGCTCATGTCAAGGGGGGAGAGAGAGAGAGAGAGAGAGAGAAATAAGGGAGAGAGGAGGAAGCAGAAGGGTAGTGAGAGAGAAGATGACGTCAGTGGGTCCCACAATTTTTTTTGAATGACAAATAGGCCCCACATATATTATTTATTTTAATGCCACATTAGTGCCACGTCAATGCCACGTGGGGTGAAGACCAGGTCAACACTGCCACGTGTGCGCCACGTCAGCGAAACGGCCCTCCAAAACCACCAAGGGAGTCTAATTGCACCGGTTTTGCAAGTTTGGGGGTCAAGATTTCTGCTATTGCGATTGAGGGATACGATTTAGGTTCGGTAGTCAGTTGAGGGAGTCAAAGTGATCTTATTCCCCATTAAAATATCTGCAATTGGGCCAAACCACCATGCCGCTGGACTTAAGATCCATCAAGCAACGCACTAGAAAAGGCACAGGCTAATTGGGCCAGACCAGGGCTAATTCGGCTGAAACCCCTCCTGCGCGTTTCCGACAATTCCAACCGCCACAACCGCCATTGCCAGCCTATTTGAGGAGTTCACTCTCTATTCCAAAGGGCGCCAAGAAGAAGTCAAGAGCTCTCTCCAGTTTATTTATATTGTTCTAGTGCTAGTGGTGTAGGAATAGAATTTTTTTCTTAGTTCTTCAAGTCTTTAGGAGAATTCGGATATAGCTTTAGTAGCTTCTCTCTCTTTTGTAAGACTTAATTCATTAATGAAATATTCTTGAGAAAATTTCCTATGCACCCATGAAACTTCACCCAATCCATTCTATGCCCCTGAGATTTGCTCATTCCCTTCGATACCCCTAAATTTCAGTTTGGATCCCTTCTATACCCTTTCCATTAGTTGACCACTAAATTTCTATCATAGAGTCCATTTTGTCCTTTGCTATCAAGAAAATATAAATTTATGAACTATATTGATGAAGCGTATAAATTTATTGTTTGTGACTATTATATGTATGAGTTTATTTTGTGAGATATTATTTAACAAAAGTAATATTTTAGTTTCGCCTCGCGAAGGGAAAACAAAAATAATTTTTATCTATGGCAACCCTTTGGTATCAAGAAAATATAAAATTATGAAGTATATTGATGGACTGTATAAATTTATTGTATGTGACTATCATATTTATGAGTTTATTTTGTGAGATATTTTTAACAAATGTAATATTTTAGTTTCGCCTCGCGAAGGGGAAACAAAATAATTTTTATCTATGGCAATATTTTAGATAAAACAAAGAAATATTTTTGACCATTAAAAACTGCATATTTTGTTATAGTAGTATGAATTTTTTATAAGATAAATCTTGTTATGCGAGATTAAAATTATTTTTGCTAAATAATATCTCACAAAATAAACTTATAAATATAATAGTCGTATACACTAAATTTATACACTCCATTAATATAATTCATAAATTTATATTTTCTTGATACCAAAGGGTAAAATAGAGTTTATGATATGAATTTAACGGTCAACTTAACGTCCAACTGACGGAAGGGGTACAGAAGGGATCCAAACTGAAATTTAGGGCTATGGAAGGGAATGAGAAAATCTCAGGGTATAATAAGGATTGGATGAACTTTCAAGGTACATAGGGAATTTTCTCAATATTCTTCTTATTATAGTTTCGGTCCTTTACTTTACTTATATAATTATTCGAGTACCGACTTTAGTTCATACTTGTCTCGTAATAGTTACGTAGCTAGCTTACTGGAGATCTGCAATGGTATTGCTTTAATGCTCATCTATATGATTGCTCTATGTCATCTGCTGAGATGTAGAGTAGTATTATTAAATGGTATTATATTCCATTATCTAAAGAAAATGGTGTTATATGCCATGGGTCTGTAGAGGTAGGCCGCTGATGGTGACAGCTCAGTACGGATATTCCTCCCATGTGCGTATATAATACTAAGAGAATTTTTTGGTGTGGGTATTTCTCGGTATTCATTACGGGTTGGATGGTCATAACGGGTTGTCATAAGGAACTCGGCAATTAGGGGTGGTTTCTTGATATATCAGGTAGGCATAGTTAGGGGGTATTGGCTGCATAATTGTAATAGCAAGTTGTTGGCGGTGTGGCATGAAGCCCTTCGACCAAATCTACCGAAACCATGTGAATAGTGGAGATTCGAGCCCGAGACATCGACGTTAGACGGGGCGAAGTCCCCCCATGGCGAAGACTATGGAACATGAACGGCGAGGGGCGAGAGATCGTGCGAGTACCTTGTCAAGCCAGAGGCCTCTTGGGCGAAGGGTGCAGGGCGAAGAGTATATACCGGAGGAAGATGACTTCGCCACAGCAAGTTCGCCCCCGCGAGGGCCGAAGAAGCCTTTCCGTCCCATCAACCCCAGGGACCGTAAGGCCGACGATCGCCCGATGGCCCATCAGGGGCCCATGAGTCCTTATTACATTATGTACCCATGTAAATGTCCCTTTCATAAGGGCAACCATGATGCGGACATCACTATCTCGGATACACACAACAATCCTCCAACGGTCATTCAAGGACCGATAACAAGAGCTCGTGCGCGACAATTAAATTTAGAGGTGAGCTCGTTCCTATGTTCTTCTTTGTATGAATTCGAGAATAGATTGCTACCTAATGATTATATTGTGATTAGGAACAATGGAGGGGACAAGGAGACACTTGGAGAAGGACTTAGACCCATGGAGGACCATCGGGGACGTCCAAGTCAAGGTGGAGGC